ACGCGCTTACAAAAACTTTTAAATACGATACGATAGTATTTCTTTGGATACTTCGACGCAAACGCTTTGGTCTGTCTGTAAATTTGTCTGTTTGTCCGCCGTAACGATACCCCAAGCGGCCAACCCCATCCGCAGCGCCCACCAATATTGCTCAAATTTTAGCGTTCCTACTTGTGCAAAATTGTCAATTAAAAAGTTATTTATCAAGCATATCTGAGGCAGCATAACAACATGTCAATATTTTGTATGTGTGTCTTTATACTAGAGAGGGCATACATAAGTAATTCCAAGTACCGTAGCGTTTATCACGCTGCGCTGACAATGCAACGCGATGCTCGAAAAAGCAAGTGTTTCCAACGCTTGCTAAGACGACACGGTGGTGGCACCTGCCAGTCACTTTGCTTTCTACACCTTATCGCCTCCGAGACAGGCGCGCACGCCTTCCTTCGTTTTCGAAGATAACTGCCAGGTAGCGATCGTGTCTAACGTGTCTTGATGCGCTCGCTCGCCTTTGCTGCACGGATCGAGAGACTCTAACGCAGTGTCTCCACAATAAAATTAACCGATTTTCTCGCGCAAAATATCAAATAAACGTTTTGTTCACTCTATCCAGACGCAAGACTATCGTCTTTCGACGACATTTGCAGTGAAACATGCAGATACGGGGCCATTTTTTTTTTCATCTGAATTATATTTATTTGTGCCTTTTATTATATTGCCTCGAAGCGTATTGCGGATAGTGTTGCGCATGCCGATACCACCGGCACGCGGCCTTATCGTGGTCCAGGATGCACCGCGATTCATCTGCGAAGATCGTGGCCCGCACGTCGACCATTCATTGATAACAAGGTAGCGCCAGATGCTTCGGCGACTGTATCTCGGATGGTGAACGCGCCTTGCAATCCAGTCGGACATTCTGTTCCCCGTCGGCCATCGAACACGCTGTTCGCCACCCGCTAAGCCGATGTGTCTGCTTTCCTTTAGTGGGCGCAAGTCCGCCAAATAAACGGATCTCCTTCTATTTCTACGAGCCTCCCGGTCTCCTGTCTTCGGGCTACCCTCACTCTTACGTGACAATATACACATACGAATACATGCACGGTACGTGACAGCGATGGCAAAAACTTGCCCATAATGCCCATATAACTGACATCGCAATAAAATGTATTATGTATTCGGGCTCGGGTTTCTTTTTCTTCAGACCCCGCGGCAAAGTACTAGCACAAAGCTAACAGTGTGTATGTATTCAAGAAGTTCCAAGTACTTTAAAGATAATAGGCGGTCACATTTCCTCTTTTAACGCAAATAAATTGAACTATATGACTGCAGCCGAGTCAAAGCTAAAAAGCGGAACATTTCGCATGTTATAATTATACTTTTATAGCACCGCTCGATCAAAAGAGAAAAAATCATGTAAGATGAGAAGACCCGGCATTCCCCACTAGCGTGCCACTTTCTATGCCGACAAGAAGTGACGCTTTAACCCAGAGAAAGAAAAGTGTGTCTGAAAGCAATATTTCTATACGAGTTACATAAGGCGCACATCGAGACGTAGATAACTTTGATCGGTGACGGAAGCGCTCATTCAAGAAAGCTGTCATCTAAGATGGCTATCATTCGAGACGGCAGAGAAGCGCAAGACATTGCTTACACCGGACCTCAGCACGTAAATATTGTGATGCCACGAAGTTCTCGTGGTGAAGCACGTGAGTCTGATTTTGTGAATTGGAGCCCCTCACGTGGATTGATAATTATTGCATCTTGTTATTTTCATCAAATTTTCTCGGCTGCTGCTTCCTCTTCTACACACTTATATACGATGAATCATTAATAGACAGTCCTGTAGGCTTTCTTCTACGGCGAATTTCTATAGCACTTCAAAATGCGACCCTCTTGTGTTGCCTATGGCTGGGCGTCGCATCGACATGTGCCTGTATACATAAAGCATTCCTTAAAAGGTTGACCTACACTGCAGTCACGTAAATTTCGGCGACGAAGAAACAAAATACGGCATGTCCTAAGCCAGAGACCACAGTACAGTGCACTGGAACATTCTCTTTCCATCGTATACTCAACAAGTTGGAAGCCCTGTTTCTGTTGGAAGAATTCTATACGGCACCACATCAGACGGCTTTGCAAGCGTTCGATCCACCGGCCCGCTTTTTTAACGCGTCTGATTTGGGCGTATTTCCTTCTTGTGCTTTCCTCCTTCTCCATCTTTGTCCTCTTTACAGTCGGGTATTTCACCATCCCCAGACAAGGGGAACCCGAAACTTTCATTCGTTAACCTCCCTTGCATTTTCTACGGAAGTAAGCACTGTAGAAATAAAAAGAACCTCATTATAGCCCCTACAACGGATATATGGCTTTAGGTGCATATAACTCCTTTACAAAAGTGCAGTTCTTAAGCTTTCTTCTGTGGCGTTTAAAACGCCTGCTGACTTGATTTCGTGCTAAATATAGCCGCTCACGGAGATTTCACAATGAAAAGTATATACATGGTGCGATCCCAGAGATAGCAAAGTCCCCGGTCACGAGGATTGTTAAGTAAGGATCCAATCCTCTTGCATACAGCTTCCCGTGATCGCCAACAAACAGTACCGAAGAAGAATGCTTTTACAGCATTCAATATGCCACTTCGACGCTTTGAAGCAGCATAACTTCATCTCCCGCGTTTCGCTTATTCATTTCATCAATTAATATCGTGGTCGCGGCACGGTCAACGAGGACAGCAGACGTTAGCAAAGAAAGCTTCGCTTTTGAATGCCCCTCTCCAACGCAATGAAAGGCCACAGTGATGCGAGTGGGCCGCTGGCAAGGCCACACCAGGACATCGTGCGCCGCCAGCCCGTCCACCAATCCCCACCATGCCATCAAATGAATGAAGAAGTTGAGAAATCACCAGGAGACATTCCACTGAACTCTATGAACAACGATAGAGTTAACTATATAGCTTCCTCAAGGAGACCAGCAATATACAGAGTTAAATCTATTAAGCCATAGACTATATATAGATTTATAGCCATCACAGAGGCTATATGTCTCAAAGGAGGCTTACTTTTTTATCATCCATGTATATAGCCCAGTGCCCAATTCCGACGATGCCAACGGTAAGGATAAGTGCAAGCCAGTCACGGAGGCTGAAATGAACGGAAGACAAAAAAACGCTTGAAAGTATACAGCCTCGAGGGACGACCAAACACATCGTGTCTCTACTACTCCGATATTGCAAAGCCATGGCGGAGATCGCATCACCAGCTCAACTACTGCCATCCGGTATCAAAGGGCTTGTTGTTTTCCTCTGTCAATACTATATAGACGTCCCGAATCACGAAGGTCTTCATCCTGCCCTGCGCGCACGCTGGGATTTGGAACAGATCAACGGCGTGCGGCAATAAATAAGAAAAGACCACCCAAAATTCACCTTAAGAAGAAATATCACACAGATTCTCTCTGTTCTTGCTTTTTTATCAATTGGGCAAATGCTCTACCAACGAGGGTTATCCCTAAAAAAAGGGGAAAAAAAGAAAGAAAGCGACAACGAAACAACAAGCTAGTCAACTGACTTCAACAAAATCGGAGGCCGACAAAAAGAAACAAGGACTACCAAAACGTCCAGCATATTAAATAAACAAGAAACATAAAATCATAACACACATTCCTCAGGCTATTTCATCCTCTTTCATTTTTCGTTAGTTGAGTGGAAGAATCCAACAAGCGCACAATGAAATAATCCGCCCACAGAGGTAGTTCCTTTTCCTCAATGTACGACAAAGCCTTGCAAGATGGGAAGAAAAAGCCGAATAGCAACACACGCGTGAAATCTCCGGATTGTGCCGCCTCGCGGAAATCGCGGCCTTAAGAACGCCAATGGCAAGGGAAGCCAAATACGACGGCACTTCCACTGTGTGGGTGTAGGCAACCCTTCGAGCCTTACTATTCACAAAATACAACCAGGAGGAAGTCATAACCATTAAAATACCCGTATAAATAAATGTAGCCCACACTTTGATTGATTGATTGATTGATTGATTGATTGATTGATTGACTGATTGATTGATTGATTGTAGCACCACTAAACCACAATACATGGGTCATGTGAGGCGCCGTACCAGAGAGATGTGGCTTAATTTTGAGCATGTGGGGTTCCTTAATAGATACCACGGCGCAGAACCATTATTTCATTTCAGCCTTCGAAACACGGATGCAAATAGTACCGGTGACAAACCAGGAGCCACCACAGGCCCGGGGGGGTACAACAGTTGCTACACGTTAATTCTCTCTGCGTCCTCTACGGATAATTCTAAGTAGACGAAAGAACAACCTGCCGCAAGAAAGATGGGAACTCACGCGTTTGCATTAATTTATTTCCTTGTTACATAATTTACAGCCCGAATTAAATGACACTATTTACTCTATGAATTCCTTAGTATTAATTCTCTATTTGAATGTTGTCTACTATGCCAAAGTCATTATATATATATATATATATATATATATATATATAATATATATATATATATATATATATATATATATATATATATATATATATATATATATATATATATGTGTGTGTGTGAGCGGATGGGAACGTACAAAGCGTGGACATTGTGAACCTTAAAATCCGAGCCGGAAAGCATGGGATGTGACGAATAAAAGAGCACACAAAACGAAGTTGGCGGCCACCAGGTGCAGATCTCGACGCCAATGGGAAGGGAAGAAAGACGGACCCACAACCACGAATACAAGAAAGGGAGGAAGCAGAGAGGAAACGAACGGCGGCTGCAAAAAAGGACTGGAACAAGAGGCAGGCCGCGCAGAGCGAACGAAAGCGCTCGATCCGAAAGAAATCGAACGAGCGAGGGCTGCGAGAGAGAAGGAAGCAGCAAGGGAAAGAGAAGCCGAGAGGAGGGAGCGCTCAACGGAGAGACATGCCGCGAGGCTGGGGTGCTGAAGCCAGAATCGCCGCAGCAGCGGGCTGAATCAGGTCGGCAAGGACGTCGCGTTCGGATAACATCACCACAGACTCGGCGTGCCTCGGCGCGCGCTTCACAGCGACAACCGGGCAGTCCCGGCGGGCGCCTTCGGCGACGCGCGCGGCGGAGGGCGCGCTGACCGCGTGCACGGGACGGTCGGTGCTGGACACGGCTTCCAGGACCTGTGACACTCCTTGGGTCGTACGGATGCGACAGTGCGCGATCGTGATGACACGGTGCAGCTTCGCGCTGCTGCTGGTCATGTGCCTGTGGCAACTCGGCGACGCCGGCCTTTCGGATAATGACGCTGCGCTGGGCCACGTGGTGCGCGAACTCCGTGCAGAGTTGCAAGCCTTGCAGCGCGGCCGCGACCAGGACCGCGCGGCGTTGCGACGGCTGGAAGAACGGCTGGAAGCCACTACGCCATGGACAATGAGCACCGCGCCTGCAACCACAGCACGTCCTCCCAGGCGTCGCCGGCCGCGGCGGCAGCACGAAGAGCAGCGAGCCTTCGCGCGGTCTCTGCGCGTGCTGGAGCAAGAGCGTCAATCTCTGGACCAACTGGAGAACCAGCTGAAACGCGTGCGGAGCGACCTGCAAGAGGTGGCGCGAGAGCGACCAGCCGACGCACAAGCGCTGCTCAGGGCCGACTTGGACAAGCTTCAGCTGCAGTTAGATGCCCTACGCTCGGGACAACGCGACGAACTATCGAGGACTGAAGCCCGCGACCGTGCGCACCGTGCCTCCGTGGACTGGTTGCGCAGCACCGTCGAACAGATCAAGGCCGAACTCGCCGAGTTGTCGCGGCAGGACAATGTGACCGTTGCCCTAGGCCTGAGCCGGGGCTTTGAAGGAGAGGCGGCGCGGCTCAGGGCAGACCTGGCTGACCTTCGAGACCAGCTGCAGGCACTTCGGGCGGCACAACAACGGCGCGAGGCCGGCGCCGCGCAGGCTGCCGGAGAGAGGGCCGAGCTCCGGGCACTGCTCCAGAGGCAGGCTGTCCAGCAGCGTCAGCTGGCACAGCAGGTGGGTACTCAGCCTTCTTTATGCAGAGCGCTGGCTCAAATCACTAGGCCGTCGGCTAGCGTGACTTGAGTCAGGGCACTGGAATATGCCACTCTCATCATCTCCCAACCATTTCTTTGCGCGCACGAGTGCGAGGTTAGCCCTATGCATGCTCAACGTCCTCGGGGTCCTTATTCAAAGCAACGTTTTACGCTGAAATGTTGGTAGCAAAATATTTCAGCCAATCACGATGGTCGACATATCATTACCAAAGACATTACCGCCACTTCTTCAAAGTACGAATCTGCAGAACGTTCGTTTCATTTCGTTTTTTTTTTTTTTTTGTGGGCGTTCGTGCTTGATGTTTAGGGGCGATGACATAACAATGTTCGCTCAGTTAATGATATCTATTTATGAATATATGTTTCGCCTCACAACGAAGCACATGCAAATACCGTGTAAATTCCAATATGCATGACGATAATGCACATAAAGGTTTGAATGGCCGCCGGTGCATCTTTGCTTGTAGGTCAAGTTTGGTTATCCATGCGATCCAAACCTGGGCGTCCCAATTCACACGATGAAGCAGCCAAAATTTGTCGCACGAATGCTGGTCCACTTTTACTGCGTCAAGCCGCGGGGGTGCTGCTCAATGTCGGAACATTTGAATATTATTTCTCATAGTATATTATGATATAGCATTTGAATATTATGAGATATAGCACTTGAATGCACTTCACCAAAAACACATATAGTGAAGGATACTGTATACCCGAAAATAAGTGATTGGCATTGTGTATGAGAATAGATCCCCAAACAATAATTAGCAGAAGAAGGGTTTACGGGAATATGAATACTTGAAGCGATGAACGAACAAGAGAACCTCGGCCAGCGTTTCGACAAGAATGCTCGTACGAACGCGCGCACGCGTCCTTTTCTCGACAAAGTGGCTTAAGATTCTGATAATCGGCCATGCATTGTTGAACGTTTCCAGAAATAGGAAACCGCGTGGCGAAACGTGCTGCTTCAGTGCCTGCGCCCTGGAGACTGAGAACCACGCGAAAGTATTCGCATAAACTCGATTCAACACGTAGTCTGGTGGCACGTTACGCAAAGCAACACGTATATTTCTCTTCCAGGACCGAATTCATAAAGTTTCTCGTTCCAAGTGCTATTTGGTATTTCTCGTACACGCCTTCGCTAACATATGTCCAGTATACCGGGTTAGGTAGAACTTTCACTTACGAAAAATTCCAGCGCAATAAATTTTTGTGAACAAGGGGCCTAACCTGATCCTGTCTGTTCCCCATTCGTATCATTGCACCTTCCCCCGGCGTAACCGAATAATGAATGTTGTTCGCTCTTCGTCCAACCTTATACAAAGCTATACTCACGGACATTCGGTAACTTAGTGTGCGAAGCTCGGTGTCTGTAAAAAGTCACGTATGCTTCAGGCATACATTTTTTTTTCATTCATGCTTTTTTTTTTTCGCCAAGCTCAGCACGGTCTGTAATTTCACCTTTTCCTAACCAACATTTTTGCACTTAGCACTCTAAGACCGATAGAAGACCGATTTCACAAAGTTCCGTGTTTGCAGAAGTGATTAGGAACTTTTAGGACAGGGTACTCACAGACAGTGTTCGCCACGTGCGTGCGCTATTTCCGTCACTTACCGGGTGTCCGCAAGAGAATAGCGTATGACACATGCGCAGCGGCGACAAACGCTAACGCAAAGCTTTGTGTACTCTATTCTAACACTCCCTACTACTGAGTTTCAGTACTGTGAGCGTAGCGTCCGTAATGGCGTTGCGTACTAGAGAAAGGTGCATTTGACATAATGCGCATGGGCAGAGCTTCTGCGCATGCGCTTTATGCAAAACGCGACGCTGTGGCGTACACAACGCTGTTACAGACGCTACGTACAGAACACTAAAACTCACTATTAGACATAATTAGTTCGACGTCCTCGGCTGCTTGCGGACGCAACCTGTCAGCCATTTTCAATAGCAGGCTGCGCACGTATAGAGCTGTTGTGGACGTCCAACTAAATCAGTCCATTGTCACTTGCCGGCCGCAAAACCAACGAAAATTTTCTACATAACGATCAAACGGCACCTCTTCTTGCGAATCTCTCTGTGTATCCGAACCAACTAACAAGTGAACCGGGCCAATTGCGCACAAAGTTCGCAAGCCAAAGTAGTTCGCGTGAGCCGACCATTTACGCTATCAGTATTAGACCACGAGATTAGAAAATCATATGCATGTCTGGACCTTCTGTACGAGCATTTCGTGGCTCCGGAATCCAATAAGTGATGCCAAAAATGTAGATTTGATTAAAGAACAATACAATTTCTTAATTATTAACAATGGCGACCACATCGCAAAGTAATTAAGGCCTTCCCCTCCCCAGTTTATAAAAAAACTTAGAACGGAATGCTACACTATACCAGGTTTCTAAACATGCGACTGATGCTTGGGGATCTACATGCTTGAACCATGCGCAATGCTACGCACTTCGCATATCGAAGTGACCTTTTTTATACCCCGTATTTCCAATAAACTCGCGATTTGATGAGCACACTGTGACTCAATCGTTTTCTCTCAAAGCGCTTGAGTTTTTTTTTTAATTAAATATACCCAAGATAGGTGAAATACGCCCGCTAGAAATTTGTATAAGGAAATGAATAACCGACAGTGGAATCGAACATTTGTATTTTATGCAAAGCAGCCCAATGTACATGTAATCTCTCAAACACTATAGCGCGCGTGTTCATCTAGTGCCAAAATCGCTATGATTTCAAAACATCTGTTACGTTAGTCGCATCCGAAACTCTTCACTCTAGAACTTCCACACGTTGCATTTGACACCACTATTTCGAGGTAACAGCACTGTTTCCGTAATCGGTCCATATTTTCCGCTAGACACCCCCGCTCCCCCTCAAAGTTAGTGCAGTTCCTCTGTAATGCTATGGCATCCATGCAGTAAAACGACCGTCGGCGTGTTTGCGAGTGCGTGGACAGCAGACAAGATGGATACACGTGTCCAAGCTGTACACATCCGCCATGGCAAGAGCAGCGGTGGTCGGAAAGCGTTACCGCGTGGCGCCATAAAAACAAATTCATGTAAAGATCCACAGCGCCGCCCTGAAAACGGAGCCTCACCGTTTTACGAGCGCGCCGTGGCTTCTTGACTGTTACGAAGATGAACGCTGGCCGTATTTACCGCCACCCAAAATAAGCAACAGACACCCCGAACTGCACAATAAAGTGACTTACAGCATTCGCAGAGAAGATGGCCCCAGTACAGCTCTTGTTCGCCGGAACTAATTCAGCCCACATATCCGAAATATAAAAGGGGCTCGCGCCGATGAGAATGAATTGGAATTTCTGCAAAGCACGAGAGGGCAAAATAGCCTTGGCGCCTCAGCTTCACGCATTAATATCGCTGTAAACAGGCGACACGATATACGAGACCGCTACAACTGGTTCAGCCAGGATAAAAGACGTTATAAAAATGCGTCGACGCCGTCAGCGTTTCTAAAGAAATAATTAGAACGGAAACTTCATTCACGCGGCTTGGCAAATGTGAAAATTTTTCATTTAAATTCGAAAGCGCGGGTTCTGCGACACTTTCGAAGTGTCCCAGAGCTACACAGAATAGGCTTAACAAATTAGCTGCAATATATGGGCTCTAGTCCATTAGATGATCACTGTTTTATTCCCATTAACATGTTCTTATTGCAGGAACATGCGCTTTCGCGCTACACTGCGGTAATACAAACCATTGCACGCACGTATACCTGGCGCCCGCTTTAGATGCAGATTATTTAACACTATAACAGAAAGGAAAAAAAGGTAATATAGTATGTCGGATGCTCAAAGCGATTAATACTAAGCCACGTACAATATTCACTCATACATCGCATGTGTCTTATACACTTCTGGACACTTCCGGACTAGTCTAACAGCGTACGCCGTCGCGCTTCTCAGTTGCTTCTTTAGTGCTTCACACGTGCGGTGACAAATCAAGCTTCTCACGACGTTCCTTGCTGGGCTCCACAACTAAATACATAGTTTTATTAATGAATTAAGCGTAAATATGAAGGTTATTAAATGGGTGCTTGGCGACCAGGCAGAATTTAATCGTTTCATTGACTTAACCATTCGACCAGGGAGAAATAAAAGCGAATCTCCCGAGCGGTCACAGTTGCTTCGGACGAATGGAAGTCCTAGATTGCGTGACCCGACTTGACTTTCCAGCACGGCGCTTTCTAGGGGTACCGTATCGCATAAGTTGGCACAGGCATTGGTGCCTCTTCAAGAATACTAGTGCCAGCTAGAAGGAAAACAAGAACAAAAAAGAAAACTGTGCCGAGCGTCAGCCATTACTCCCTGTCGAACCGGGACCCAACACGTCCTTCTGTGCGTGGCTGGAAAATAAAACAAAAACAAAAGTAGAGTAAGAGAAATCTGGTGATGCCGTCTACGGAGGGCCCGCGATGAGCCAAGTCCTCCCCGCTGTGGGCCGCCCCGCGCGTTCGAGCGGCAGCTGGCGGCCGGGCAGCTGCGGCTCCCCTCGCGCCCTAATTGGGGCCGGGAGGAGCAGCGCCATATCACCCGGAGCGGCTCTTCCCGCCCCCATGCGTGCAGGGGTCATCGGGCAGGGGGCTCTAAGCTTCCTTTGCACGTGTCCCACCCACCGCCCGTCCCACTCGCGCAGCCGGCATTGCTTTCCTGCGCTCGTTCGCTCGCCACCTATACGGCAGCTACACTGACCTAACTGAGGTCGCATTGAGCTCCATTATACATGTGTGGGATCATGGTGGCGTAGAGACCTTAAAGATTCCAGACAAGATGTTGCGGAACACTGCATTTCAGCGGAGTGATACACTCCAGTTCACCGAGAACAACAGAAGACACAAACATGGGGCACGGGGCACTATAGAAGAAAGAATATAACTGAAGGACCATGAAAGTGTACATCAGCGATTCCTCGCGTTCGGGGGCCGATTTCTCAAAG